GTGTGTGTGTGTGTGTGTGTGTGTGTGTGTGTGCATATATTCTAATAGTCGAGTCATGGCCTGTACATTGCACAGTTCTATGAATGTAGCTAGACAACGATCCAAAAACAAAAATTCAATATCGTCTTCTTTTTTGGAAAAAGTCTTAAGGCATACGTATATATATTTGTATAGAATATACGCACGTACCGGGAACTCGGCCAATATTTTGCCGACCGTAGGTAAGGAATCAAAAGGAAAGTTCGGTATCTTAGTGGCCGCCGAGACTTCTCGCACAGTCGATGCGAGCGACACGATGCCATCCGCCACCTCAGTCTATAAGATTATCAATTGCCGAACAAGGAAAGGGAAAAGAAAATAGAGAATAAATAAGAAAAGAAAAGAAGCGAGAAAATACCAATTAAATTGTCATTTAAATATTGAAGAAAGGCAAGAGACGGCTTACTTATTGTCGTGTATATAAATAGATCAAGAGGTCAAGGACAACCACCGTACTACCATAGGCCTATAGGGCGGGTTGAGAACACACTTGTGGTTGGAGAAAGATGAAAACGTGCATACGGCCTCGGAACCAAGACTGTACTAAGGTGGATGTGCTGCAATACACGGTGGCAGACATGCGCACTTCGACTCTTGTTGCAGACTGTGACCATGAGCACCAAGCGATACTCATTCCTTTTAATACATAAACACATACAGACCCAGGTGTACAAGTCAACGGATAAGCTCATGGCTGTTAAAATACTACTAACACATACAGACCCAGGTGTACAGGTCTATGGATATGCTCATGATTGTGTACTGCCACATTCCCACACTGTCCAACATACACAAAGAACCGTATATTCTAAATATCTAAACGACCAAACATGTGATTAAAATACGGATACAGAGTTAGATGGTTGTAAAAGCATTCCACAGTTACCTTTAGACCATTAGCCTCCATCTGGGCCACCAATTCGCCGTAGGGCAATTCAGATATATTGCGGGACTGAAAGCGGGATCGCAGCGGCGGATCCAATGGATTGCCAGCATCTGATAGTGCCGGAAATTGGAAAGACATTAACAAATACGATGATATCTATATACCATTGGAACGCAGCTATCTTTCATCCACATATATATGTATAAACCCAATATGTATATACCTTTGGAAGGCAATTATCTTTCATCCACATATACAAGTATAAACCCAATATTTATACACCTTTGGAAGGCAATTATCTGTCATCTACACTTACATGTATAAACCCAATATTTATACACCTTTGGAACGCAGCTATCTTTCTACCACATATACATGTATAACCCCAATAGTTATATATCTTTGGAAGGCAATTATCTTTCGTCCACATATACATGTATATACATGTATAAACCCAATATTTATGCACCTTTGGAAGGCAATTATCTTTCATCTGCATACATGTATAAACCCAATATTTATACACCTTTGGAAAGCAATTATCTTTCATCCATATATATATGTATATATCCAGTATTTATACACCTTTGGAAAGCGATTATCTTTCATCCACATATACATGTATAACTCCAATATTTATACACTTTTGGAAGGCAATTATCTTTAATCCACATATACATCTGTAAACCCAATATTTATACACCTTTGGAAGGCAATTATATTTCATCCACAAATACATGTATATCCCAATCTTTATAAACCTTTGGAAGGCAATTCTCTTTCATCCACATATGCATGTATATATACCCGAATATCGACTCATGCGGAGTGTATACCCCGATAGCCCCACCTACAAACTGTCTATTTACAGTAAGTGGCGTTCACACTCCGTCCGATAACATAACATGTCGCCACAATACAATGATATTCAACAATATCATATAATATGTATATATATATA